TAATATTTTTTTTTGTAATCCATGATCGAACTTTTTGTAATACATGATCGAATTTTTTGTAATCCATGATCGAATTGTCTTTTTGTTTATTTTGTAATCCATGATCGAATTTTTTGTTTTTTGTTTTTTGTTTTGTAACCCATGATCGAATTTTTTGTAATCCATGATCGAATTTTTTGTAATCCATGATCGAAATGTTTGTTTTTCTTTTTTGTGATCCATGATCGAATTTTTTGTTTTTTGTTTTTTTTGTAACCCATGATAGAGTTTTTTGAAATCCACGATCGAATTTTTTGTAATCCATGATCGAATTGTTTTTTTCTTTTTTTGTAATCCATGATCGAATTTTTTGTATTTTTTTTTGTTTTTTTATAATCCATGATTGAATTTTATGTAATCCATGATCGAATTTTTTTGTAATCCATGATCGAATTTTTTGTAATCCATGATTGAATTTTTTGAAAATTTGTGATTTTTTTTTTTTAATCCATGATCGAATTTTTTTTGTAATCCATGATCGAATTTTTTGAAAATTTATGATTTTTTTTTTTAATCCATGATCGAATTTTTTGAAAATTTGTGATTTTTTTTTTAATCAATCCATGATCGATTTTTTTGAAAATTTGCAATTTTTTTTTTTAATCCATGATCGAATTTTTTTTTGTAATCAATGATCGAAGTTTTTGAAAATTTGTGATTTTTTTTTTTTAATCCATGATCAAATTTTTAGAAAATTTATGATTTTTTTTTTTAATCCATGATTAAATTTTTTTTGTAATCAATGAACGGATTTTTTGAAAATCTGTTATTTTTTTTTTAATCCATGATCGAATTTTTTTTTGTAATCCATAATCGAATTTTTTGAAAATTTGCTGTACTTTTTTTTTATCCATGATCGAATTTTTTGGAAAATGATGATTTTCTGAATAGATGTGGAAATCGTGATAAGGTTTTGATTATCATGATGTCTTAAACCCAATTTTAAATTTTTATTGTTTGAGTTTGCTTTACTTTTTTTTTTTTTTTCCATGATCGAATGTTTTGAAAAATGATGATTTTTCGAAAAGATGTGAAAATCGTGATAAGGTTTTGATTATCATGATGTATTAAACCCAATTTTTAATTTTTATTGTTTGAGTTTGCTTTACTTTTTTCTTTTTTCTTTTTTCCATAATCGAATTTTTTGAAAAATGACGATTTTTCGAAAGATGTGAAAATCGTGACAAGGTTTTAATTATCATGAGGTATTAAACCATATGTCAAATTTTTTGTTGTTAAAGTTTTTGTTGAAAAAATTGTATGTTGATAGATTAGTTATGCAAAAAAATGCATGTTATTATATTTTTAATGCAAAACTGTATTTTTTTAATCTGTTGTTAATGCATTTTTTAGTTGGAATGACTGATGTTAGGTGGTTCTGTGAAGAATTGTTTTTATTAGTAATTTTTTAATGCAAAAAATGTATGTTCTTGATAATTGAGTTGTAGCCATGTTTGGAGCTCGCATTTTGTATTATATTATCTTGAATGTTTGTAATTGATACGTACGAAAATATTATTGTCAATAGAGGTATTTTGCAATAACAAATAACAACAAATATAGACTACATAGAACTACCCAACATATTATCACTACACATGGTGATATTTTTCTTGTTGAACTGTCAGGTTAATTTTTAACTTTTTACATATTAAAACAATTGAATCATGTCAAGATTTGCAGAAGACCTTGCATGGCAACATGGGGTCAGACTTGATCCCAATAAAAAGGATAAAATTATTTGTAATTACTGTCAAAGAGTGATAAGTAGTGGGGTACATAGGTTCAAGCAACACTTGGCAGGGGTTAAGGGAGATGTTTCTGCATGCACTAGTGTTCCTAGTAATGTAAAAAAACAGATGGCGACAATTCTTAATGCTAACAAAGGTAAAAAAATTGCCAAACGTAGGATGAATGAGGCGATAGCTAGTTTATATACGCCATCAAGCAGAAATGATATAGAAGAGCAATATAGTAATGACCTAGAAGAGCAATATAATAATGACCTGGACATGGCCACAATATTGAGTTTACATGAACAATATCAGAGGGAATGTGGGTTTAGAATGCCCGGTGGGTCTAGCTCAGACATGTATGGTGGGCCTAGCTCAGACATGCATGGCGGGCCCAGCTCGAGCATGTATGGCAGGCCAAGCTCAAAAATGTATGGAGGGGTTGGTGGCAATATGTATCAAGGAGAATCAGATGTTGAAGAAATTGTTTCTAAGTTACCTAGGAGTGTCAGTATTGCAGGTCATGGTCGTAAAGACCCATTTCTCTCAAAGCCTAAGTCACAACAGATGACCCTAAAAGGCATGGTTAAAGGTACAAGAAACATGTTGGGGAGATATGTTGGTAATGGTTCTACGATAAAGGGATTCCCTTTGATGCAGCCAATAGCCCATATTTTTCACCTATGGTCAGTGCAATCCAGAGAGTCGGGCCCGGGGTAAAACCCCCAACGGCATATGAGCTCAGTGGGCCAACATTAGATGAAGAGGTGGAGGAAGTTACAAAGTGGATTGAAGAATATAAACAGAGTTAGCCAAGGACAGACATTACTTTCATGAGTGATGGTTGGTTGAATAGCAAAAGGGAGTTTTTAAACTTCTCTGCCTATTCTCCAAAAGGTATAACTTTTTTTTCTAGCAAAGAAGTATCAAGGACGAAGAAGGATGCAAACTTCTACGTACGACTATATGATCAGATAGTGGAGGAGGTGGGAGATAAGCATGTAGTCCAGTTTATTACGGATAATGCGCGTGTATGTGTTTCTACAGGCAGCAAGTTGATGGATAAGAGGAAGCATCTAGTATGGATGTCGTGTGCTGCACACAACATCGATCTTACGTTAGAGGAGATCGGTGAGATCAAAATTGTGAAGGAGACTTTAGAGGAAGCAAGGTTGGTGTCGAGATTTATATACAACCGCTCTAAAATTTTATTTATGTTTAGAGAACACTCTAAGAAAAAAGAGATAATCAGGTCTACCATAACCCGCTTTGCAACCGATTACTTAGCTGTGGACTCCATTCGAGAATCTGAAGGTGCATTAAAGAGATTGTTTACCTGTGAAGAGTGGTTAAATGACCGTCTCTCGAAGTCCAGTACCGATATAAAAGTGGACAACATAGTCTCAAATAGGCAGTTCTGGTCTCGATGTTCCAGTGTTGTAGAGGCCACTGCCCCTTTGGTCACGGCGTTAAGAATGGTGGATGCTTACAAGAAAGCTACCATGGGTATCCTTTATGAAGGTATTGAGAGGGCGAAATCAGCTATTAGAGAGAAGTGTAGTTTTGCTAGCAAAGTGATCGAGATTATAGAAAGGAGGTGGAACACCAAATTTGGACGTCCAATTCATTATGCTGGTAAATATATATTTATATCATTATAATGTTTCATTTTAAATCATTTTTTTATGAAATTGTAAATGACATTTTTCTATCTATATATTTTGTAAGTTGCTACTTCAACTCAAAATTTTTCTATTTGACACTTGAACATCCCCACAAGATTATGGAAGGGGTCAGATACATTATTGCAATGTTGGAGAGAAGCCATCGAAACCAAGTAGCAGCAATACAAGAGGTATTATTTAATGTTTGGGTAAGAACTTCATTGAGTTGTTATATTTGTGAGGAATAATGCACTAAAATATAATATATTTGTTTTAACTTGCTATATATAAGGATGCTATAGGATCCTTCGGAACTAAACTTGCCAGGAATTCTCGAATTATGATGGATCCAGGTTATCCCCTCTCTAATATTTTGTTCATTCATATATTTAATCTTATGAATTGTTCTTGCTCTTACAATGTTTTTTGTATTTTAATCCAACTGAATGGTGGGAGATATATGGTACTGATGTACCTCACCTAAAGAGGATAGCAATCAAGGTGCTCTCCCAGAAATGTTCTGCTACTGGCTGTGAGCGCAACTAGAGTACGTTCCCATAGTTGCACACTACTAGGAGGAATCGACTTGCTTCTGAGAAGCTTCATAAACTAGTGTACGTTCATTATAATTTAAACCTCCGAGAGCGACAAATAAAAAGGAAGCTTGAAGACTATGGGCCGATAGACTTAGACACAATATTTGTCACAGACACAGCAGACCAATGGGTAGTAGAAGAGGAGGAGCCAATGTTGTACAAGAGAGCGTTCCTTGAGGCTATCGGTGAAGAAGATCTTGAAGAAGGTGATGAGCAGCATGAAACAGGAAGCAACCAGCCAATGTATCCACAATTCGTCGAAGATGTCGGTGATATTGCACCTAATGAAGAAAAGCGGGAAGGGGGTCTAAGAGAAAATGAGAAAGATGATGATTCTGAGGCCACTCTATCACAGCCATATTATTCACATATCGAGTTCCAACAGTGTAGGTGAGCATGAAGGATGGACAAGCTTCGAGGATTTTGGATTGGGAACGCAACAAAACACTAACACTCAGGGATTTGGGTATAGTCAGACGCCTGCTAATATGGATGATTCGTTTTTAGATCGAATCAAGAAAATGTCAAACGAATTCAATCAATGGCACCAGCGTGATCAAGAAGAACAATAACGTCGCCTGTCATTTTATTTTTAGATCGTATGTTACTAAGTGTATGCTTTATTGTAGTCCATGTATGTTGATATACTTATTTCATGATAATTCTGTGTTTATCCTTTTTTGTGATGTAAATTAAATGCTGAATAGTAGTTCATGTAGGGAAAGAATATATCAATATTCGCATATTCATGCAAAAACATGAAAATTCTTAATGGAGTACCTTCATTTCTTATTGAATTCCTAAAAAAAAATATTTATAATGAGTTTTAATAATTTTTTTCGAATTTTTTTGAAACTTTATTATGACCGATTCACCCGATTCTCAATCCGATTCACCGATCCGGATCGCTGATCCGCTTTTAAACCATTGGACGGGGGTATTTGCATGCGAAGTCCATTTTAGGAAGAAAAGCTTCGGTTGAGGTAAGTTGCATAGAAAAGGATGTTATTGGGGTTTATTCATAATTTACCCAGGAATCTCCCGGAAAGAGTGAAAGGGCTATAAAGCAACCAGCAGGCAAACGACCTAGGTTTTCAGGGTCTCTTCTCAGTTCTTGTGCTCATCTCTCTCTGCAACTACAAGGGTAAGCAGTTTTCGGTTCCCCAATGGATTCAATACTCTATTTTAATCTCCTAGGGCACAGAAATTGAAAGGATTTGATCTGATTCAGTGAGTGGATATTTTGGATTCAAGCAGCACATTGATTTGAATGAGATTTTTTTTGGTCTGATTTTTATTTTTATTTTTTATTTTTTGTGAAATTCTTGAATCTTTAAATAGAATCGGTGAATTGTCAAAGTTTTATGTTCGTAATCCTTCAAGTAGTTGATCTGCGGTATTAGTTTCAGAGGATTTCGTGGGAAAATGGAAATTAGACGGTCGTTTTGGATGTACAGTTTGAATCCCATGATATATTTATTTCAGAATTCTTTTATTTTGCAGATTTATTATTTTTTCCAAAAGTTCTTTTTTCCTTGATTATGGTACAAATTCGGCAGTATTTCAGTATTCTAGTGGTTAAGAATGGACTGTTGTACAAGTATTTGATTCTTTTCTCGGGGAACCTGGTGGGTTAGGATAAATCAAGTTCAGGCAAACTGCATGCAGAAAATGACCAGATTTCCACGTGATTGGTGAAAGAAATAGAAAATCCATGAAGTCATTGGATTATATGCAAAATTTATAGATTACTGGCCCATTAATTGATGTAGGAGCAAAGGTATAGAGTCCATGTTAACTGTGAAGTTTTTGAGGAGAGTAGAAAGGGAACAAGGTTGGTCAAATTTAACAAACCAGTTTTTGTGATCTGTTTTGGTTGGCCGGTTCAATGCCAATCTGTTGATCCAAATAATTCATTGTTTTCTACTTTTTCTTTCATAACTGTATTTTTATTTAAGTAGGCATACACCAAACCCATCCCCATATAATCTGGTTCTTTATTGAGTGTCCATGCTCTTGGTATGTACTATGGACATATTTCTAGTCCTTCCCAAGTGGAGCAATCAATGAAATGCTACTTCTCTATTATCTCCTATTAATGTGGTCTGTCAAAGAAAGCGCAATTCCATTTTTTGGATGATTGAGAATGTTGGCATTATAATGGTCGATGATATTGCATTGTAACTGCAGTGAATTGTATGTATTAGTTGTAGGCTGCTCGAATAATGTAGAAGACATTTGTGCCTCCTCTCAGTTAAAAAACCTACATCAAGAAACATGCATCATATGTGTATGCAATAGACAGATGTTTAGGTTCTTCTTGTTTTCCTCAGGGTGGGATGGCTGGAATTCAAACATTTATCATAAGTGTCACAGCCTTTATGATTGATCCGCTAAACTGAACTGAAACTGGTTTGGGATGTGAATATTCTCATATAGAACCTTTCGTATTAAAGAGTCATATGCGGCCATTATATTGCAAACATGTGAGAGCAGCCTTGTATCCAGTGTTTTTGAAAATATGAAACCAAGAATGGAAATGACAGGTGGCAAGTCTGAGATGGCTTGCCAGGTCCTGCGTTTGACCGGTCAAGACTAACACCATAACCACTTGTTTTACTAGGGACCCAGAAAGACTTTTCTAGACTTGGGCAGACTCAGCAGGACTCGGTCTAGATGGGTGCTGTTTGAGTTGGGATTATCTGGGACTGGCACCTTGCTGGTGCCCAGTGACTGAGGTGAGTCCAAGTTGGATTTGTCATGTTTTCAAATACTGCTTAGATGAAATAAGTATCTTGTTTTCCTGCTTGGATCATTATGGAACTTGTATTGTACTAGATGTGGAGAACTGAACTCTGGTGGTCCTTGTCTGATGCATGTCAAAGTCAAACAACTTTTTAACTCCAAAACCCCTCCCTTAAGAAAACCAACCCCTACAAAAGCAACTTAAATATGAAAGTAACCTATGAATACATGACCTTCATAGTTCATGATGTGCTGTCCATATATGTGTTTTAGTCGAACGGATGGTCTCCATTTTGATTCGTCGTGATGGGGATGATGCGGGCTATGGTCTTTTTGATTGTGAAGTCCAATCTTTTGTTTTTGAGTGCTTAGGTTTACAATTTCATATGAATATGGAGGCACAACAAAATGTGCAGTACTTGTAGCAAACTTTATTCGTCTCAGGAGCAAAAAATCTAGATGTTGTCCTGGACCATACTTTCCTAGAGATTGATAAAATCTGTGTAACAAAGGTTCAAGTGCCTTGAGACCTCTTCCTTGATGATTTCAATAGAATTTGGAAATGTTAATCCATTTATTTTTGTGCTTTAAGTTTATTTAGTGAAATGAGATATTTAAGGGTGTACCTTATTTCTGTTCAAACATTTCATAATTGTTGATGTATTTCTACCTGTGGTTTCACTGTTTTATGATCATCCAGGCAAGGCATTTCCATAACAATCCATCAACAAAGTGAGAAAAATGAGTGACAATCCTCACCCACTGCGTTCAATAGTTCTTGCAACAGCTTCGTTTCTTGGTGCATTATATAGTATTTCACTTGCTTCAGCACATTTCAACCGAGCTATACGGGATTGCAAAGATGTGAAAAGGGTGAACTTTCTTTACTGGTTCAGAGACGTATCTGTTCTCATTATGATAATCCTTATGAGCCTTCTCTTTGTTTGGAATTCTGTAGAAACCATCTATTGTAACCTGCAAAGGCTGTAAATGAACATGGGGCTTTGCATATGTAACCTTATTTTCTTTGTTTGGAATGCTGTAGAGACCATATGTTGTAACCTGCACAGCTTGTAAAGGACATGGATTTTACATATGTAAACTATGCCAAGGGAACACAACTATAGAATGGTCCCCTTTGTATGACCCTGTTGTCATAAATCCTTGTCTTTGTCCTACATGTGAAGGAAATAGGTAGACACTCTCTTCCTTCTCCTTTAATATGAATTACAATTGAGACTTGGCCCTTTTTTGATATGTTCTCCTGGTTTTAGGGTGCAACGTTGTCTTAATTGCCTTGGAAAGAGCCATAATGACTTGTAAGTTTTTGGTCTTTCAAAAATGTAACTATTCGTTTTCTTTTGTGGCAAATACCGTATTCAAATGTAGCTAAGTTGCTTTTCCCTCGCAAAGGTTTCCATTGCAAATTCACAGCATAATTACGGTGTTATGTGGTAATTTGATGTACTCCTTTAAGATATTAGTCATTGTATTTACTAGATTCATATGTCTGGTGCAGTTTTATATGCATTATGGTGTCATTTATTCATGTTAAAGGTATTAGTTGTTTGTTTTTATCTGTGCTTTGTAAAAAAACCATGGCCAAAAGTGAGAAGCAACTTCTTCTTCTTTGTTACTATTGTTTGTCAAACATTTTTCTTGAGTTCTGTTCCTCCATGGCCCATTGTATAGAGAGACATCCCACTTGCTTGAAGATTGCGGCAGACGTAATTTGCATGTTGTACTAACATGACCATTTTTTTTTTTGTAAAACACTGTTTTTTATTCATCATAGTTATCATATGATGCTGTATTATGCGTTACGTGAACCACTCCACACACCTTGTATACCCACGTATGCTGGCTAGTTAGATGTGTCTGCATACCCAGCACATCGCCAGCATACGCGGCCCTGACTTGTGGGCAGATATGGTGCCTTCAGTAGGGGCAAAATTGTAAACCACTTACATCCCGACAAAAAAGGGTGGATTTTGTTTGTTGGGGTGTGTGTGTCTTGGGGGTAATGGCCAGCTAGATGTATATGCATACCCGGCACATCGCCTGCATATGCAGCCCTGTCTTGTTGGCGGATTTAATACCTTGAGTAGGGGCAAGATTGTAAACCACTTACATCCCAACAGAAAAGGGGGAATTTTGTTTGTTGGGGTGTGTGTAAGTCTTGGGGGTAATGAGCCCTCCCTCAAAGCCCCTTGGGACCAATATTTGTTGGTTCTAAGGGGATTAGACTAAAAAAGGAAATAATTCTTCTGTTTTTTATTTTTATTTTAAAGTCTTCGATGAACTTTGTGGATTTTTTGGGTGAAACCTCAGGTTGACTTTTGCTATGTCTTGAAAGAATTTGGCTGGAGGTTAAACCTAGAAATCAAAATTTTCTTTTGATTTTAGAGTTGATCTCAAAACCACCATCAGTTTTTCTGGTGTAGTTGTCTTCTCTATTTTTTATCTCATTACTTTTGGTCTTTGGATGTTATATACTTGGGAAGTACTTTAAGACTCTTTAGTATTTATCATTTTGGCTATATTGTACATTGTACTTAGTTGCTAAATGCTTATTTAATACAAGTGCTTTGTTGGGATAATGCATATTCTTTTGTATTTTCTTTAATTTAATGAATGACTTGGATGAATTTATGTTACTTGTTAATCGTATTGGAGTATAGACAGAGAAAATGTCTCTATTACTCCCTATAAGTGACTCAACAATGTATACATTAGATACAAATACTAAATTGCAATGGCATCACATATATCACATATTCATGTTCTTCTTGGTATTCTTATATTTTTCTAACTTTTTTAAAAATTTATTGAATGGATTGGAAGTGATTCGCCCACATGGCTGCTGCCTTGAGGTGCATCATGCAGTGGATCCCCTTGTGCATCACATCCAGACCTTGCATGTGATAACCTTGTTTATTTAGTAAGCAGGCAGGCAGAAGGGAACAAACTATACGGTAGTGAGAGCCCACCTATGTGAGAATCTATATGAGTTCAATTCTCCTACGTTCTTACATCCACATGTGTATGCACACTCATGTTTTTACTACCATACGCAATAAATGTGTATTGTTGTTTTTTGAATCTAGTCTTGCATATATTATTTAGATGCACACACTCACACATGCATAATAATGGATGCCAATAATATAATGTCAGGTATTCCTTACTGAATAAATACACATAGTAGATTTCCTTTTTAATGCTTGTGAGTAAATTATAGCAATGTTGGGAATTATATATGCCAATTAGACTTCATGATGAATCAAGATAACTGAGCCCTTCTTTAAGCTTTCCATTGTTTTGTTTAACATTATGCAAGCAATCATGGATTGAATACTAAATATATTCCAATGGGTCTGCCAATGCTAAAAAACTTGAACTTTGGTGGCCTGACTTGGTCCTTGCCAAAACTGTGTTAACTTGACAAATGCAGCAGTTATATCTGAAAAGCATGGATGAGTTCTGCAAAATCTTGGATGAGTTCTGCAAATTTGTGAAGAAAAAAAAAAGTGTTTATATGTTTCAAATTTAACTTGTCAAAGTACTTTCTTAGCACTCCAGAAAATGTCTTTTATGCATAACCAAATAGTAAAGAACATTTGATTTTTTTATGTAAATTAGGAATCAGGTGAGCTGAGTTCACTGGGCGAGTTTTTCCAAATTTAAAAAATGAAAAATCCTTGGTTTCTTGTGGTTGACACATTTTTTCTTCAAAAATCATGTGTACTTTTTTTTCTTTTCCAGTTTGTAGGTCGTTTACTTTCATCGTTCATAGAGGCTCTCTGAATTTGCAGGAAGACAAAGCCCTTAGGCTTGGTGAAAACTACCCCATTGCCTAAGCATGCTTTCAAACCACAAATATGCAAATCCTTTTTGTCATAGATTTAACTAAGAAATTGATACATGCAAGATATTCCTCCAAGATGCACTTAGGTTCTGAGCTAGAATTATCGATAAAGATGATTCTAACAAGATATGGTGCTTTGGTCTAAAGTAAAGATCCTGGTAACTTTTTGTGCATTAATGGACAAGATCTTCCAGCCTTGCTTGGATGGGTTTGTCATAGTAATGACATTGTGGTACACAGCAAGGATTACAAGATCCTGCATTGCAGCAAAATGACTGTGACTTTTCAAGATCCTTAGAAAATATAGCTTTATCCTGGGAGGGAAATATTCTCCTTTAATGAGAAAGAGTGCATCTTTTAGGTCATGGGACTGGGGACGGCAAGAATCCAATGCATACTCAGAAGGTCATTGCTCAATAGGAATTAGAGTCCCAACCAAAGCAGCTCAGGGTAATAGGCTTTATAAACTGATAGCTATCTGCTGTGAGTGATTATTTAATAGGACAATGTCATGCATGGTATTTGTTGGGGCAGCGCCAAAAATCATTTGTTAACTTGGATCTAGCTGTCATGGAGGAATAAGATTTGGGTTACTTGATCATTTTAAACTTTTGAGGTGAGCATGGATGCATCAAACTCCTCACTGAAGGGTTTTTGGTGTGGTGGTATGAGGGCCCCTTCCTTATGAAGTTGGTTGTAATTGAAAGACGGTATGTGGTTTTGAGAAAGATGTCACAAGGTATCCCCTTCCCTATGCAACTGATATGATTAAAAGGAGGTACACGGTTGGGAGAAAGCAATTACATCAAAACATTAGGCAGAACTTCCTTGGCTTAAAGTTTTAGTTTGTTATGGACTGGTCTAAAATGACTGCATGGTTAGTCCACCTAAAAGAAGCTCAATCCTGACATACAGGCAAACTTGCTCGGCTCAAATTTTCTCTTTGTTTTGAATGCGGGCATGGTCACTCCACCCCCACCCATAAGAAGCTAAATCCTGGTGAGTTTGGCATACTGCTGAAACATGAACTTGAGAGAGCAAATGAGGTGATATATATTTTAAGTAGAGTAGCTAATCTATTACGGCTTAAACTGGAGGGTGCAATGAGTAGAAGAAAAATTAAGAAGCCATTAGCATTTGTAAAGGGTCATACAAGGATATTGTGGTAGCCAATCTGCTGCAACAGGCTAGGGATGGGAAGATTTGATGGTTTTGGACAAGCGAAGGGGGCTCTTGACGATGAATGATAACAATCTGTCCAATGGGGAAATTTAAGGATATGAGATTGGTTGGTCACGTATAGCATTAATGGTAGTGGTGCCGCCTCAAGCATGATATTACTAGCTACCGCACATGTGCTGTGATTTCGGAGTGTAAGTCTAGACTCGTTTAGGGTTCCAGGAGAATAAGATGGAACATGCTCTGGCAGGAGGTATAGTATTACACTTGATGCAGTTCTTGAGAGGCCATGCTTAAGCATATCCATGGGGTTCATCACCATGTTGCCCAAAAATTATTGATGATGGGTCCATGTTTGTAGTGGTAAACATGTTTCTGAGTATGCCTAGGACAATAAGGTTGTCGTGAAGTATGTGGCGACATATTGTGGGCCCCTGGCAAGCATCTAGGAACCTTAGATTCATAGGATGATCTTAAGTAAATGTGTGTTTTTTTTTTCTGGACTCCTAAGTTTAGAGTTGTACTTTCCTAT